GTTTCGCTTGGGGAGCAACGGATTCTGATAAAGTAAGTTTTTATCTATTTATTCATGTGAAAATTACGTAGTTACACGAGGGGTGCAACGGAATTGCATCTTTTGGATGCTCATCCTACGGCCTATCGGACCAAAATAATTTATTTATTGATGAGATTTGGAATTGCAACGAAATAGCTGGATCTTTTGATTTCCGAAATATCGGCAACTGTATCCAGATTGTTGATCTATAATATAAAGGCCTTATAAAAAAAACTTAAATCCCGTCAAAACACTATAAAATTGGCCCTTTGCATTGCTGAAACGAACGATCATGGTATATGTCAAAGTATAGCTGTCTGTTGAAAATCTACGGTATTAAAATCATACACCAAAGATAAGTCAAACGACAAATTATATGTCACTATATTATACTTGTCTTTCAATGAGCACTGTTTAGTAGTGTTCATCACCTTTATAAATAATTTTGTATTGTAAACAGCTTTCGTTTTGACATGAATAGGTTTTAATTTTTTGCTTTATATGCATTCTTAATAATACAAGTGAGATTTAAATTTTTGCTTTGTGAAATAGAATACCGTTATTTTTTAATGGACAGCTTGCATCGTCTATCATATCCAGGATTGCTTGTGTGTCAACGCATTATTCACTATATGCATGACACTATCAAGTAAATATAAGTAGCAAATGATTAATGAATTAGAGGTAAACATGTGATTCACAATGAAAACTATAAAAATGTTAGTAACTTAGTAGAAGTAGAAAACTCGAAAATTTATGTCTATTCGTATGACGCCTGTGCGCATCTGACGGTCTGTGCGCATCTGACACTGTAAATTTGTGATATAGATTATAGTATGTTAACACAATATAATAATGATTAATAGAGACCAAGAAAAAAGCTAAAGTCTTACTATAATTACCGAATACGAATTAAGTACTAAATCCAGATAAATCAATGACTGAAATTTCCTCTATGCTTATGGACATTTCTCTGTTCGGCTATTATCAAATGTTTACATTTGGTAATATTGGGCCAGTCCTAGACAATACTGTTTCTTTTAAAAATCTTATATTATAAAACAAGACGCGCAGTAACAAGTGAATCGTTGCAAAGCGTATCAACGTTTACAAGAAAGGACGAATGTAATGGCGTATTTTAAAAACATTACAATAAACGTTTGTTATAACCGCGCTCGAGTGTGAAGAGAGCATGCATTGAATAACGACACGAGAGAGCACTGCGAGTAACGATTTGCTTGGTTTCTTGACTTGACTGTAAGTAAGAATGTAAGAATGTTCTTGTAAATTCAAAGCAAAGAAAATATACAAAAATTAGCAAGTATTTTGAACGTAATAATTCGCAAAATTTATGTTTTTAACGAATATCCCACTGGAAGGATGTTGATGTAATTTGATACTTTCCCCATACCCTCTCGGGCGCTAAATTTTTGATGAGGCACGTGACCAGCCGCAGCCAGGGTCTTTCCCAAAGAAAGATCCTGGGTACGAGGTTGACTGTTCCATAGTTCGGCTGATCTAATAATGAACGATTTTCTGTAATAATCTTGTTTATGTTTATGTTTATGTTTATGTTTATGTTTATGTTTATGTTTATGTTTATGTTTATGTTTATGTTTATGTTTATGTTTATGTTTATGTTTATGTTTATGTTTATGTTTATGTTTATGTTTATGTTTATGTTTATGTTTATGT